ATAATTACATGCTATCAGTGATGGTAAATAATAGGAAGGTAATAACAGTTTAGATAATTATACTACATAGATATGCATGTGCGATACAATGTATCTAATATTAAACATACTCCGCCCGTTGAAAGACTCAGGCTTTCAAAATATTGTCGTCAATGGGTAGAAGACACAGCTTTGCCACAGCCCGTTTGTATATGCCACTTGCAGTCTTCAGAACGGCCACTCGTACCACCTGATCTTTCCTCTGATGGTTTCGATAACCCTGGCAAGCGGCCACCTTAGTGGGGGATTGTTCTCATCCTTGATCAAGACAACGTCTCCAGGCTTTAAGTTTGATGACGGCGAATACCATTTCTGGCGTTGCTGAAGAAGTGTCAAATATTCGGCATGCCATTTCTTCCAGAATTGCTGTTGCATGTAGCATATGCGCTGCCATCTGCTGAGTCGATTTATGTTGAGCTCGGTTATGTCATGTTCAATTATTGAAGAGAAGGAGGCGCCGATAAGGAAGTGTAATGGGACATAAAGGTCTAGAATTTACAATGGCAGAAATTTGACACACAAGTGTGCGTAGCTCTTCAAAATTTAGCGTTGAAAGGCCAACAACTCGGTGAAAATGATATTTGGCCATTTTTACTGCGGCTTCCCATAAGCCACCGAAGTGAGGGGAGCGAGGGGGTATCAACTTCCAATCAATCCCATCATTTGCGCACTGCTCGTGAACTACTTTCAAATGCTGTTGACTCAAAAATAGGTTCCTCAGCTCCAATAATTCATTCTTTGCACCAACGAAGTTAGTGGCATTGTCCGACCATATGGTTTGCGGTCTACCACGCATACAAATGAATCTATTTAGGGCTGCGAGAAAGGAAGAGGTTGCCAAATCTTTCACCAGCTCCAAATGAACCGCCTTGGTTACGAAGCAAATAAATATGCAAACGTAGCATTTACCTGGAGGTCGGTTTCTAACGTCTGAGTTGTAAAAAAATGGTCCACAAAAGTCTACTCCGGTAATTAGGAATGCTCGATTGCATTGAACTCTTTCAGATGGTAAGTTTCCCATTAAGTGTTCCATTAGTTTAGGTTTGACGTGAAAACAACGTATCAATTTATTGATGACTCGATTCACGGTTTTGCGACCGCCCACAGGCCAGTATTGCAGACGAATGGATGCCAATAGCGATTGTGGTCCAGCGTGTAACAGTTTTCTATGAAAACTGCTGATGATTGCGTCAGTCACCGGGTGACGTTTTGGCAGAATAATTGGGTGTTTCGATGAAAACTCCAAATCCGAATTTTGAAGTCTTCCGCTGACTCGAAGCAATCCACGCTCGTCGAGGAACGGGTTTAGCGAACGAATTTCAGATGAAGTCTTTACCACTTCTCTAGCTTCGAGTACTTTGTACTCGTCTCGAAGATGTGTTTTCTGTATCATGCGAATAAGCAAAAAGGTTCCTTCTTGTAATTCCATGGTGGTGAGGAATCCAGAACATCTCCTTACAGCTGGTCGAGAAAATCGATAAACGTAGGCATATACTCTCTGTAAGCGAACAAAAGAATTAACAAATTTGCAGTTCAATGAAATGTCTACTGTGGTAACAAATACAACAGCACACTTTCGACTTTCCGGGCAGTCATGTATTGGTAGAAGAGGAGATTTCGGCCAGTTATGTTGACTGCTGGCAAGAAAAGATGGTCCGTATTTCCATAAGTCCATGTTCAACAGCTCCTTCGGACTAACTCCTCTTGAAATAATGTCTGCTGGGTAGGACTCAGTTGAAACGTAGCTCCAGGTCATTCCTTTAGTTAGGGTTTGAATTGCGTGAATGCGATTAGCGACAAAAACGTTGAAGTTGGCTGGCTCGTTACGCAACCACGACAGTACTATAGTGGAGTCCGACCAGCAAAATATCCTGCCTTTGAAATGCATGGAATTGATTACCTTGGAGACCAATTCGGCTAGCAGCAATGCCCCAGACAGCTCAAGCCTTGGTACCGTAAGAGTTTTAAGCGGGGCAACGCGCGATTTGGAACAAAGCAGATTGGCCTGAATGTATCCTTCTCTTTCAGCTTGTATGTATATGCAGGCCCTATAAGTAGCAACACTTGCATCACAAAAGGCATGCATCTGTAGGTCAGCTTCGGGCATTAGCAGGTATCGGTCGAAACTAAAATGTGCAACTAGCTTATATTGACTGCACATTTCCAGCCATTCCGATTGTATTGCCTGCGATGGGCTTTCATCCCAATGTAGCTTCTCCTTCCACAACTGCTGCAGGAATATTTTGGCCTTGGCCACCACAGGTCCGATCAAACCAAGCGGGTCATACAGTCTAGCAATGGCTGAAAGAATAGTACGCTTAGTTACCTTGGCCGGCGTTGCAAAAGGCGAAAATGAAAATATAAAAACGTCCAAACTGGGGTCCCAAGTGCCTTTGTTATGTGTGTATCATCATCGAACTTTAGGAATTCCTGTTTGTCATTAGCTGCTATATCAGTCAAAATGCGATTATCGTTTGAGCACCATTTTCTCAAATGAAAGTTTCCAAGAGACAGCAACTTCCTCGTCTGATTTAGCATAACCTTGGCTTCGTCCACCGAGTCGGCGCCGGATATCATATCATCAACATAGAATGCATGTTTTATTGTTTCAGCGCCAACCGGATAGAGGTGCGCTTCGTCCTGGGCAAGTTGCTGCATCGATCGAATCGTTAAAAAAGAGGCAGGCTTTGTTCCGTAGGTGATGGTATCTAACTTAAAAATACGGAGCTCTTCATTAGGGCTGTCTCTCCATATTATGCATTGAAGAAAGTTATCTGGATAAGACATTCTTACACAGCGATACATTTTACAAATGTCTGCTGTAAGAGCAATTTTAAATGTACGAAATCTGAGCAAAATATCAAAAAGTTGTTGTTGAATGGCTTGTCCTTTCATCAGGATCGAGTTCAGCGAACGTCCAGTGCTAGTGGGCGCCGAGCCATCAAACACCACACGCAGTTTTGTTGTTGTGCTATCGGCCTTTAAAACGCAATGATGCCGCAAAAAATTTATAGGAACTTTGCTTGGTATAGCGTCAACGACTGACATGTGATTCAAATCAAGGTACTCCTTGATAAACTATTAATATTGTTTTTTAAGTTCAGCATTTCGCTGCAATCTTCGTTCCAAAGCTCTGAACCGATTAACAGCCTGCTGATAAGACTCTCCCAGTTCGAACGAAGGTAATTTTGTTGGTAATCGAACAGAAAACTCACTGGATTTTAAACGTCTGTAGTTTTTTAAAAAATTAGCTTCACACAAATCTTCTTCTGCCGTAGTCTTTGGCGAAGATTCTTTACAGGTTTCTACTTCCCAAAAGCGTTCCACTAATTTGTTTAATTCGACATCAGAGTCATTTGTTAGAGCCATGTCGATGGCTGTTAGGCACGATAATTTTGCAGCGTTGTATCTACGCAGTTGCGCCCGATACTATCCAACCCAATTTGGTTTTTTGCAAAATTGGCATACTTTCATCCAAGCGTATTTGACCAACGCAAAGTAAGTCGAAAAATAAGCTAGCTCCAATGAGCATGTCAATGCGTTGAGGTTCAAAGAATAATGGATCCGCTAAGCGTATATTCGAAGGTATGTTCCAATCAACGCATTTGAACGAGCGACTTGGTTGAATATCGGTAATGGTGGATGTGACGACTGCTGTCAAGTTAGCCGTATAATCAGTAACACGCGAATGGAGCCTTAAATCAACGATATGATTGGTGGCGAAATCATTTTGGCCTATGCCAGAAATGAACTGTGACGAGTTAACCTTCTTTAACTGAAGCTGACTAACAAGTCGATTAGTTACGAAGTTGAGTTGTGACGCAGAATCTAGCAAAGCTCTGCAGGGAATGAGAGAGCCAGATCGATTTTTTAAATAAATGATGGCAGTTGCTAAGAGAACGAAATCTCGGTTAGCAAAGCTAGCTTGAGCTTCAGAGCTGACAAGTGCAGAAGCTGATGGGCCGAAGGTTGAAGACGAATGTGGCAAATACGGGTGCATAGAAGTGGGGAGCATTGTTGTTGCTTGTGCTTGCGATGGGGATTTAGCACACGTCAATGTTTCAAAAGAATTCGCAAATGAATTTGTGTCTTGATGAAGCAGACTGTGATGCTTCGACGAGCAATGCCTACACTGGTCGGACTTACAGTCCTTAAGAGAGTGACCACGTCTCAAGCAATTCAAGCAAAGGTGCAACCTTTTTGCTTCTTTGTAACGCATTAAAGGCGACAGGCCTAAAAATCGTTCACAATTTGCAATTCGATGTTCGCTAGAGCTGCATAATGTACACCCAACTGCAG